AATGGAGATGGCCTAGTAATCTCAGCCATCTTCTCATTTTTCTACATTTAATTGTGAAAACTGTCCAGAGCCCTACTAAATATCTAGCCTTAAAAGCAATCTCCTGGGACTTCCCTGGTGGTCCAATGGCTAAGACTCCACACTCCCAAGGCAGGGGGTCCAGATATTCGATATCTGGTCGGGGAACTACATCTCACATGCTGCAACAAAGATCCCATGTGCCACAACGAAGACCCAACTCAGCCAAATTAATTAATTACATATTTTTTAAAAAGCAATCTCATTTTTAAAAATTTGTGCAGTTATTTAACATGAAAAATGCCTGATGCTACATCATGGCTATGCTACTAAATCACAAGTTTTAGGGCTGGAAAGGATCAAACATGGGTGATTTTCTATCCCAATTTCCCATCTTAAGGACAGGTGAAGTACAGAGCCTAGCCAACTTTTTAACTGATGCTGAAAAAGCCCAGGCATCAGCACAATTAGGGAGATATGGTTTTGCTGCAAGTCATGCTTGGTCATTATAAATAAATTAATAACATCCAACCAGCCTTTGCCCACATACTAAGAAAAACAATAATCTGACTCTTACTCACCTAAGAATGGCTCAGCATGGGCTCTTTGATAAATAAGACTGAAACACAGAATACCAAGGAGTTTCACTATTTTAATTAAAATGAGCTTTCTGTCCTGTTTCATAATTTTCTTTGACTTTGCTTTGGTTTTTTGTGTCCTTTTTCCCTTCAGTGGACACACAGGCATAACACAGTAGACCAGGGCCAAAGCACCCGACCCATCAACAGCTGGAAAGAGCTAGACAGACAGCTGAGCCACTGGAGCACAGCCATGGTTTATGGAATGAGATTTATGAAGGAGGGGGAAAAAAAAAAATCACAGAAGTAACACAATTTCGTTTGCAGAAAATTTCAAATCGCTTTCTAGAAAAAGACGTCTTGGAAAAGTTGACACTTTGCTTCTTCATTAAATAAAAGAGCTAATGGATGGGAATGAGAGGAGGGGTCATTTAGATGAGGTATCTGGGATCTTAGTTCCCCGACCAGGATTCAAACCTACACCCTCTGCACTGGAAGGCGAAGTCTTAGCCAATGGACTGCCAGAGAAATTCCAGAGGTGCAATTCTTTGCAAGTGCATGTAGGTAACAAAAAGAACATCAGAGGGAAAGACCACCATCATGACCCTGGTCCCCACTCTGCCCTGTTCAGTCCCATGAGTCTAGAGCTCAGACCAGTGGGAGCAGTCCTCAGGGAAAGGTCAGCCTCTGTGACCTTTACTGACTTCACAACCTGGGGACCGCAGACCTGGGGTGGGCCTAACATATCATTAGCAAGGCTTAGGCTTTAGGAAACTACATTTTCCCAGGAGATGAGAGAGCTCTGTCTTTTCAAGTCCCAGAAGCCCATGAAGCTCAATGGAATTTCTAAGAGTGCCCAGTATTTTCTAGAACTCATGACCAATGCCACAACTGTTGTGAAAACCTTAGTGAATCCAGGCTGACTACCCTTGCAATGACGGGGCAATCTCCGAGGCCAAAGTCTACTGTCCCAGCCCCTTTCTCCAAGGAGAAAACCCATCCGGGCAAGAGATGTACCCTCAACAGAGGCAGCCAGCACCCCACGTTCCAAAGATGGTGGTGCAGTTGTTGTTTTAGTCGCTAAGTCTTGTCCAACTCTTTTGTGACCCCAATAACTGTTGCCCTGTTGCCAGGCTCCTCTGTCCATGAGATTTCCCAGGCAAGAATAGTGGAGCCTGTTGCAATTTCCTTCTCCAGGGAATTTTCCCAACCCAAGGATCAAACCTGGGTCTCCTGCATTAGCAGATGGATTCTTTACCACTGAGACACCTGGGAAACCCAAAGGTGTAGTACTCTCTCCCTTTTGCCCTTTTTGTAGAAAAGCAAAACAGATTTCAGACTTTCGTCCCCATACACTCAAATTCCACTCCTCTTTCACTCCAGAAATGACGCCAACATCAAACAGCCAAAATACTTGGGTCACCTCTGCCTCTACGAGAAGAGGCTAAAGGTTGCTCATTTTGCTTTTAGAACATAGCTGCTCTTCATTTAGCAGGATGTTGTCATCAATAATCAAAACTGAACTGCACCCGGTGAAAATCAAGCAGTGCTTCCTCATCAGGCACTCTCAGTCTTCCAGCGTGTTTATAATCACTAATTCAGACTTGCAAAAAAGCTCCTCAGGCAGAATAATGATGTTGGTCCTCTTTATTTTGAGAGCAGGAATTTCTAGAGGCTCATCGACCCTTTGTACTCCTATCTCCCAGGAAGGAACTGAGCTGACCATCAGGATTTTGACTACCTTTCTGATACTTAAGCTATATTTAAATAAACCATTGAGGACCACCATTCCCTGGTGGTCCAGTGGTTAAGACTTTGCCTTCCAATGCAGGGGATGAAGGCTGGATTCCTGGTTGAGGAGCTATGATCCCACATGATATGCAGCCAAAAAACCAGAACATAAAACAGAAGTGATATGATAACAAGTCTAATAAATGCTTTGAAAGAAAAAAAAATTTTTTTAAATAATAATTGGAACTGCATCCATTATATTTCCAGAGAACGTCCAGTGGTAAGAATAAGCCTGTGTGTGTCTGTGGTCAGTCGCTAAGTCATGTCCAATGCCTTGTGACCCCATGGACTGTAGCCCACCAGGTTACAAAGCCCATCCTTTGCCCATGGAGTACTCCAAGGAAGAATAGTGGACTGGGCCCTCCTCCGGGAGATCTTCCCCACCCAGGGATTGAACCTGAGTCTTCTGCATTGCAGATGAAGTCTTTACCACTAGTGTCAGCTGGGAAGCCCAAGAACAAGCCCGGGGCCCAATTTTAGTGGCTTAACCCTTTCTTTACAACCAGCACTGCCTAATGAAATCTGTGTCTGTTCATTCCTTTAAAAAAAAAAGCCAACTCCAACCTCACTGTGCCCTTCTGCACAAAGAGACAAACCGCCCTTCTGCTACCGCTTCCCCCAAAGAGCAAGTTGTGGAGGACAAATGGAGTGTGTCCACTCCACAGCTTCAAAGGCATCCACCTTCCAGTTGATGCACTTCACACATAAACTGCCCACACACACACTTAGAAATGCACTCGTAGGCTTTCCCAATTATCCTCCGGGCTTTTGGCTTCTAGAAAGTCATCTTTCAGTGTTAAAAGCCATAAACTCTTAGAGATGAAAACACTAACCCCCTTTCAAGATGAGTCACTGGGCATGGTATTCCAGGAAAGGGCTCCGGGGCTCTTCGGGTGGAGAGAAGCCCTACCTGAACCACAGAAGTGGTGACACAGGGACTCGCGCATCATCCAGAGTGATGCTGGTGTCTTAACACAGGTGAGGAGTGCATCAGGGAGAGTCCTCCTAGGTACCACCTGCTGCCACCAAGAAATCCTCTCCCACGTGATTCTTAAGGACCTGGCTGTGCACACTCTATATTACCCACTGTGCAGTTTTCTCCAATGGTCCCAGGATGTTCATGTCTCTTGATATTCATGCCCTCAGTCATCACCTCCCTTGGTGACTTGCTTAATGCAGAAAACAGCCATCAGTGGTAGAATGGCTCGTCCACTATTAGGTTACAAAGGCTGTGACCTCGGTCTTCCTCATGCTCTCCTCCGTCTAGCCTATCCTCCCTCAGGAGGCCAGCTGTCATGCTGTGAGCTGCCCTACAGAGAGGCCCACGTGGCAAAGATCTAAGGGTGGCCTCCAGCCCACGGCCAATGAGGAACTGAGGCCCTAGTCCAACAACCTGCAAGGAACTAAACCCTGACAACAACCACATGAGTGACTCCGGAAGCTGATTCTTCCCTGTTGATCCTTCAGATAAGATCCCAGCCCTAACTGAAACCGTAATTACAGTCCCATGAGAAACCTTGAGACAGAAGGCCAGCAAAGCCACACCTGGATTCCTGGCCCATGGAAGCTGTGAATGGATAAATGTTGTTGTTAAAGCTACCAGGTCTCAAGGTAATTTGTTACGCAGCAATGGGTAACTGATGCACCCACTCATGTTCCAAATGGACCAAAGAATTTCACAGTAAAGTTTCTGAAGTCTTCCTCACATACTAAATGCACAAAGCTCTCCCTTTCCAGGCTAAATGATCTGGAGATTCTGTATCACTCTTTCTGAGACAATCTTCCTTCTAGCTTAGTCCAGAATTCTTTCCTGATCGCCTTTACCTTAGTGTCTCAAGGAGCCATCACCACTGAACAGCCACAGGACAATACACTCCTCTAATTTCACCCATATCAGTGTCCTGATGGCCAGATATTTATCTGCCTTCCTGCTGAAGAAGGAACCCCGATGAGCCAAAGGCTGTGTTTTGCCCAGAGCCTAGGACAGTGCCTGCCACAAAGGGCATTGGATCAATGTCTGATGAATGGATGAACAAAGGCCTGAAGGGGCATCTTGGGGGAAACGTTGTCCATTTCAACCTCTCCAGTGAGTGATGAGACTGTATTTCACCACCTCCTGTAATGGGCTCTTCAGAACCCTTGAGGATGGAGGACAGGGAGATTGCCTCTGTCATCTTGGAAGCATTCTCTCTTAATAAGTAATATTTCATACCCCAGTCTCTCATCCAAGTCCATACACTATTCACACAATCCTGCTCAAACAGAGCAACTGTACTTCTCAAATTCTGCTCCAATTTTAGTTTTACAGACCATAAAACATATAGAAAACAGACTCTCAACTTTCGACCCTTCTTTTATTAAACTCTCTTCATATAAAGAACAACACAAATGGAGATTATGTTTTAAAATCACATGCAAGTCTGGGGTAACTTTTTTAAAATATCAAACGTGGTAACGGTCAATTATGATAATTACCGATTTTTTAAAAAAGAGAATATTCCTTCTATTATTTCCTGCTAACTTCTGACTACTTAAAAAATGAAGAAATAAAAATTTAAGTAATGGTATTAAGTGTTTTTAAAAATGTTAAGTATTTTACAAGCTTCATTCTACCTTATAGCCTCCAATGCGATGCTCCTGCTTAAATTCCTTCCCATTTTTCAGCCACCTCATGGTTGGTGTTGGATTCCCCCCAGCTGGACAGCGGAACTTGACAGTGTTGGCTGCTGGGACCGCATGTAGCCGTTTTTCCATCTTTTCTGTGTTGGTCCAGTACGGTGCTCCTGTTTTGGAAAACGACATTATAATGTACATAGATGGACAACTGCATCTCCATCAATAAACCCCTAACAGGTTCGTATGTGAATGATCCGACACTTCCAAAACTTCGGGTAATATTTATCTATAGAAACATTTTCTGAAGTCTGATCCAGCTGGCCTCCCAGAAGGTCCCTGGAGATGGACTGCTTAAAGTTTATTAACAGGGAACTTTTCTTTCCCTTGTACTTACTGCCAGAATATAAATTCATGAATGTTTTAAAATGCTACTTTAGACACAAAGCGACAATACATATAGTAAGAACAGTTGAGTTCTCCCCCACCCCCAAAAATATATTATTTTAGATCGCCGCACCTGTGAAACGATCACACATACACATAAACAAATTGTGTTCAAAAGTCACATCAACTTATCCATTGGCGCCTTAAAGGGTGATCAATAGTATAGCTTATCATCTCAACTTGTGCATGTTCAGTCACTCAGTCATGTCTGATTCTTTGTGACCCCATGGACTGTAGCCCACCAGGCTCCTCTGTCCATGGGATTTTCCAGGCAAGAATACTGGAGTGGGTTTCCATTTCCTTCTCCAGGGGATCTTCCCAGCCAAGGAATCGAACCTGAGTTTCTTGTGTTTCCTGCATTGGCAGGCAGATTTTTTGCCACTGAGCCATCTAGGTAGCCCTTTTACTTGCAGACATGGCCCCAAAAGATCTCACACATTTAATTCATTAATCCTGACAACAATTCAATTATAATCCCTGTTTACAGATGGGAAAACTGAGTCATGGAGTAGTAACCTGCCCGAAGCCACAGAGCTAGGAAAAGGTGCAACCAGGATTTGAGCCAAGGCAGTTTGATTCTAGAGTCCACTGTCTGTCTCCCCGAACTACTCTCAAAGCACTGGAATCCATACCTTTAACCTCTCTGACATGCAGTACTAGATCCAAGACAGACAGCCTCAACTGGAGGCATGCTGCCTCCTTTTATCACTGCTCAGGATTTCCACTGACAATATCTTGTATGGCGATTTCACTCTTCACATGCATGTTTCTGTCCCAGCAAATACGTATTCAAAATCCCTGTATCCCCCTGCCTAAAGCATCCATCAACAGGGCCTGGAACATCCAAGTACATTCTAGAACACTGAAATTCTAGAAGACTGACCCATAACCACTTACAAGGGTTAGACTGAGCAACAGTTTACACCCCCCACAAACCAGAGGCAGTGTTGGGGGGAAGGGGCTTTGTCTCCAATATGATTTAGAAGTTTCCTCTCCTGTTCTGGGGATGGCACAGCACATTCCTGGCAGGGTACTGATGCCCTTCAATTAACAGCCAGGTTGTCATGGTAGAAAGCGGAAGTGGAACAACTGCATTCAGAACACCCACCCCTCTTTGCCCCCTCACCCTTGCTCTTGAAACCTGCTATAAAAAGTGGAGTGAAGATTTCTTAACAGGAACATGCTGTGTCTTCTTTATCCATCTGCTTATCTAAGTGTCAAGGTGGAGGGTGGCAGGGTGGGGAGGTATGGCTGGTATGGACATGATGCTAAGGCAAAGCCAACTGAGGCAGAACTTGTCGGTCTCTGTACCAGAGAGAGAAGGGCCAGTGGAGGGTGGGAGGGGAGCCAGGGCAGAAGGACCAGAGCCGTGTTCTCGCCTCTGAATCCAGTTGCATCTGTAATGAGCAGGCAACTTGGTAGCCACTTGACTTGGGGTGTCAAACGCCCATAAACACATCTATTCTTTGGAGGGGGTCCCCAGGGAGTACTCAATTTCTATTTATCAGAGGTCTCCCAGGGCCTGGCATATCCCAAAACAATTTCAATCATCTTTCATTTGAAAAGCTTCTATTTGGCAAAGTCCATCCACAGCCACTGAAAAAGAAAGCGTTAAGAGCACAAAATAAATAATGAGCTTTGTCGCTACACAAAGACTTTTACAAAGCTGACCTAAATGAAAGGCATACCTCACGCCGTCAGGTGCCTGCATTCATGTCATCTGTTTAAGTAAACACAATAGCCTATTCATATGAATTAGCTAAATATTAATGGAGTCACTCTTTCAGATACCATCAATTACAGCTGCCCTGATCCTATGGAATGTCTTTCCTTTCTTTCTTTCTTTCTTTTTTATATAAAAGAAATCAACAGATACATGCTGTGTACCATTAGGCACGGTTTCCGTGTTCCCTGGGTTGAAAAGCAGCCTGGGCTTTAGGCACCAGGAAAATTGCTCTGTTCCTCTCTCGCAGGGTTAAGCTGTGGGTGAGCCTGCAACCTGCCCAGGTATCACCCACACCACACGGGCACCTATGGCTGTAGCCTGTGGCAACAGCACACTGCAACGAGCACCTTTTACTTGGTGCCGGAGTAATGATTTAAGGACAAGAGGGAAAGAATTTTGCTGGAATTTCTGGCAGGTAGCCACTTTCCTGGGGTGAAATTTCAATCATCAACAGGGCACCTATAAAACCTGCTTCTGCAAAACAGACACGGCCGTGTTTCTCTTCTAAAGGCTCAGAGATCACAGGTGAGTGGGGCACCATGAAATCTAATCAACAAAGTAGAAGCCAACTGCCTCCATGACCATCACTGGAAAGCTGAATTCATGACATCTGCTCTCCCTGAGGAACGGTAAAGCTTGACTCAACAGAAAGGGCCGAGGTTTCGAGGTTCCCTGAGTAGCAGCGATGGTCAACCCCCATCCAACCCCACTCTGGGTGATAACATCACACAGGCATGATGTGCTTTTGTGACAAGGCTTTCCTTCAAGGTGTCCAGCTCACAGATTTTATTACAGGTGTGATGCTGGAGGGGAGGGGCTATTTTAATCTTTTACAATGGCTCTTTCTGAAATAAACTAGCTTTGTAAAACTTGAAGAATCTGCAAGGTCTAGAAAAATAATCACGCTGCAGGAACAGCTCTGCTGTGTTCTCAACATCAGTGTCCTCTGCAAACTCTCCCTGTCTTCAGTGCTTCCCGCTGTGTGTGCAGTGTTAACACACGGAAATGCCAGGCCCCCCACTCCATAAACTACAGCACAGCTGCAGAGAAACGGGGACCAGGCCCATGAAAAAGCTCCTCTACCGAAGGAGGCCCTCTACCATCCCAAGGCTGTGAAAGCATGAACAACTTCCATTTGCAGGAGGAACTCACTTAACAAATTAACAACCTACAAAGGGAGAGACGACTGGAGCACTCAGTAGGCACTCAATATCGATGGCCAAGGCCACATCATGTTGCCTGAAAGAAGTGTACGGCATCCACTCTGTAAACCTTCCCTGGTATAATCTTAGTGATCTATTTAATAGAGAAGGAACTGTGGCACAAACCCCTGATGACACAAACATGGATCATACTTAAATCAGATGTAAATAAGTTGACCTAGACATAGGTATGGCCCTTTTTGCTCTGACATGCTCAAATCTTCTGATGTAGTATGTAGCAAAAGCACGACATTCTCTTAGTCATTAAAAACTAATAATGACCAAGTTAAAGGGACAGTCAGATCCAGCCAAAATAAATAAGTACGATCGCATCCTCAAGGCTCACCTACTCATTATCATCTTCTGCACTGAAACAGATATTGTATGTTAGTAACGATGCGGAGGAAGTACAATTTTAATACAGCAGAAGCCTCTTAACATGTGTCTGGTGAAGCAGATTTATAACCCCACCAAAACATCCCTCAAAGTTCCCTCCACACAGCCTTTCTTAATCCCCTTCATCCCACCAATAAAGATCCCCTACTCCTTTGCTGGGCCACCATTTTCTCGGTTATGTGTATGTCTCCATGCCCAGGGCCTTTCTATACTGAAATAAATTCCTTTCAATGTCTGATGACCAGTAAGAGTGGATCACCTGGACGGGTACAGCTTAAGTCATCTTCAGACGATGGAGCAGAAACCCAAGTGTTTTTTGAATGGGTGGATGGATAAATGGACGGATGGATAAACGGATGGATGGACAGATGAGACAGACAATCGTTAAAAGCCTGAGCTATAAAATGAGGGTGTTGAACTGAAAGTTCTGATAAGGCCCTTCCCAGTTCTAAGATTCTTTTCAGGTATCTGTCTATATCCTACACAGATACTGATTCTGTCAGTAAATGGTGGGATCAGAGGCTTTGTTTTGACCCTGTGACTTAAACCTAAGGAGAAAACATGGACTGCTGAGCCTGTTCCCACAAAAACTCTTATGCATCTCAACTCTAACATCTAAGGATTATGGTGTTCTCTCTTTCTCTAACCAAACAGAGAGAATACAGCCTGGGGGTTGAAAGGAAAAACATGAGCTCATATTACCACTGTACCAAAAGAGACCTCACTGACCATCTGGCCCAGCGGCTGGTATGATCAATGTCATTCAGAAAGGTTAAGTGATTTGATCAAGGTCACGCGGCCAGAGGCTGGGCCAAGGCTAGGTCCAAGTCTCCAACTCCCTAGGCAGTGCTCTTTCAACCACTGCAGGATGCCCTTTGAACTCTCCCATGGTAATTAAGTCAAAAGTTCAAGATTTATGTGAGCTGTGGCCACTGATGACTGCCAACTGTATTTTTATTGATGTAAAAATAATAATAAAAAAAAAACACAGCCTGTTTCAGCTCCTAGATTAAGCCTCACAAACTCTCTAAAGCCCCACTAAGGCCTCTGTCTTAAGTCTATAATTAGGGCCTTTAAAAATATCACTAATCAGGACATTTCAATGCTTTGACCCTTGATGAGGGAAAGGGTATGTGTCTGAGAGCTCTCCCCCATCCTCACCACAGACTGCACATCATCTGACTTCAGTTTTGCATAGAGAAAGAGAAAACAAACCTGACAAAAATATGAGGATGTCAGTGAAGGTGTGACTGTAGGGGGCAGGGGGGCTTTATTTGAGAAGTTTCATTAAAACGACAACTTGCTGATCAGTGAGGCATTCAGTAAGATACACTTTAGAACAAACCAGGCAAATGAACCCCTACTGGGAGGCCAGTTGCCCACAGGGGTCCCCAGGCTCTGCCTTCAGCCTGAGAGAACCGCTGCTGGGCCAGAGGAAGGCTGAGAAAGAAAAGATATTCAGCCTGGCTGAGTAGATGGAATATCATCACTGGTTTCTGTGATAAAACACCCAAACCAGTTTGTGATGAGGTTTCACTGAAAAAGCATTTCAAAAACTTTAGGCAGCTTACGTATTTTTTTCAAAAATGCATTTTCTTCAACTCCTGGAAACTTCAACACAACTAAGAAACCAGCATTACCAACTTAGAGACAACCTCTACCAAGGAACAATCCCAATTAGAGCAAATGTGACCGTGATCTCCTACCATCAATAGGTCTGTCAATGCAAGTTCAGAATCTCAGGCCAAGAACCTTCGTTTTCCTGTTACTTCCAAGAAAAAAAAAAAAACCCTTTCTCCCTAGCATGGAAGATGGGCAGCTGCAGGCCTCAAGGAGAATAAAACCAAAATAGAAAATTATCTTTTCTCTCTTCACTCAGTAGTAAGAACCGCACTCCACTTGATACAGCTGTCTTACTATCAACTCCCTCTAGTTAAGCAGCCAACCTGAAACTTCTGTCAATCATGTTCAAGCTCTTTGGAGACAATAATCACTTAAACACAAGCTGGAGGCAATAAAAGTACCTTGAAAAAACGGACAGACATGTATACTTATTTGCTGCCAGATAACCCATTAAGATACCGAGTACCTAGGGAAGGCAAGGACTAGTTAAGTTATGCTTTTCTAAGCTAAAAGATAAAGCTTGAACCTTTCAAAATCCTCAACCTGGATGCATTTCAAAAATTAACATTGGAAATTACAACTTTCTGTCCAGAGAAAGTCTCTTTCACCAAAGGGCATATGTAACAGCATTATTTCCTGGCAGCCAGGCTTGTAATGACATCACAAGATTGTTCCGTCCAGGGAACCGTCTAGCACTGGTAAAGTGTGACGTCATCAGCAAGTCAGCTGCTAAAATATGACCGGAGAATGCCCTTCACATCTGTGATGGAAGAACCTGACTTAAAATCGGGGGGTGGTGGGTAGGGGGGGTTAGATCAATCAAACCAGCTCACTGGAGGGATTTTCAAAGCACGTGCAGCAGGATGTTAATAGATGCTATATTTTTTAAAAGGGTCTTATGGTCAATCAGTTTGGAAAACCCTGGGAATGGACAAAAAGAAACAGATGTTTTACTACAGAACTTCTCAGAGCTTGTATTAGGCTGATAGACACCATAAGTCTTTGAGAAAGGGTTACAGTATGAGATATTCTCCAAATTCATTTTAAAATGCAACTGATTTTTGGCAGAGGATTATTCGGAACCAGGGTTCCCAAGGATACTCTTTTAGAAACACCGACTTGTTCTCTTCGTGTACAGACCAAACCTGAACACTGCTCTGTTTTTAATGGGATCCGTACAAGAGATCATGGGAGGACGGTGATACCACAAAATATTCATTCAACATCTGGGCTAGTGACTGCCCTTCAAAAGCAATCTAAGGGGAAAGGCAGGTCCGAGATGCTACCTAATACTGAATGTGACACCATACGTTGTACAACGCACAATAACATGCAAACACTCAAAGCCACTCAGTCGGCCGGTATAAACAAGGAAATCTACAGAGGAGCCCACTTTTGAGTCAGGTCTCGTAGGAAGAAGTAGAAGTTCACATATACCTGAACAATGCAGAACATTCCCATAAAAATCAAATCAGACCTGGAGGTTAATGGATAGCAGTTTCATGGCCAAAATGCAACAAACCTGCCTTAATTTTTGACTGTTATTTTTACCATTATATTTGGCTACCATGCTTTCTGTACTCCGTACAGAATCTCAAAAGAACTCTACCAGGCAGATTACCTTGCCTTCTTAGAGTGCACTGCCAGAATTAGATAAACAAGAATATCAGCAACTGGAGTAACCTGCCATCTATTTTTCAAGTCAGATGATGGACAACTAATGTGGACCAACCCCCAAAAAAACTCTTCTTGGAGAAGCTCAGAAATATCACTGTCAGCACAGGGTCACTGAAGCATCGTTTGTTAACTTCACTAAAGGGGAGCTTTCAAACACACCCCAGGGGCATTTCCAGACAATCAGAAGGCACCGAAGGAATCCATTTGGACACATGAGTGGTTTCCAGGTGGCTGAAAATGCAAAGAATTCAGTGCTTCTACAATTTTCCCTATTAATCAGGTCAGGCATTTGACACTCGAGGTGGCAAAAAATTGTTTTAATGGCAACATCCCCTTCCCTGCTTTGCCGATTACCCTGGCTGTGGCATTCCTCTGTCCACCCCGGCCACAGCTGCTTAATCTCAGCTGCCCCAGGCCGCACCTGTGAATCACACCAGCCTAATCACAGTAACAGATGGCAGAGGCCACGCAGCCAGCTAAGAACTGCTATCACTTTAAATCGCATCTAATGTTTCACGGGCCCCAAAGAGAGGCAGTTCCCGACAGCAGTATCTCCCTGGTACAGCTAACACCAGTCCTTAATCACCCCAGAGCACCCACTTCAGGGCAAAGCTGGTGTCATTCGAGAGCTAATTACAAAGAACCCTGGTTGCAAGGTGAAGGCACGGTGATTCACTCAACGTAGGCTGGCATTCATTAAGTGGAACAACCCACTACCTGGGCACTGGGCAGTCAGCACTAGTGTTCGGGATGCAAAGAGAGACATCAGAGAGGGAGACCAGACAGAGAAGTAGTTCATTCAGCCTACCTGTTACATCACCTATACCTTCTGCTACATTTATTACTTCCCGCGTGTTCTGGGTAACATGCTGTCAGGCAGGGGGCTGATCACTACGACAAGGCAGTTCTCCGGCACGGCAACAGAACCTCACTGAGTCTGATGCCCCAGTCAATAGCAATGGCTAGCACACGTGGGTACCAGATTAGGGCTGCCCACAACTCCACGAGCATCCTCCTCCCACCTGCATCATCACCCTGGGAATGGGCAGAGGGGCATGGCGATTAGACAGGCAACAAGCCTAGGCCTCAATTGCAGCTCTGCTTTGTGTTCACTGAATCACAGATTCTCAATCAATAAAACACAAACAACTCCTCTCTTCACCTTAAGAGGTTGCTGGGGGCACTGACTGAACCAGCAGTCAGAGCAGAGCTTGCCCTGAGCAGACTCTTTTCATAACCGTCAGGTTCACGGCCTCTCGTGCCAGAGCCAATAATAAGTGAGTGACATGTTCTAATCTACCAGTGTTTTATTACTAAGTCACGATAATAAGAACAACCACCTCGTTAAAAGGCAGTTTCAGATCACAGTGGAAGACACTTTCACTCACCTTGTCACCCTCTGTTTTACCACCAAGCCTTCTAACAGTAAACTCCTATTGGAGGCAGACCTGTGTGTGTGTGAATACCAAAGCCAGTGGTTCTCACACTTACTGTGCATCAGAGGGACTTCCAAAGTTTCTAATTCAGCAGGCGGTCCAGGGTGGGCCCTGAGAATCTTCATTTTTAGTAAGCTCTTAAGTAATGATGATGATAGTGGTCCAGACTGCAAGCTTCCTCTTGTCAGGGAGTGAAAACTAACATAAGCCAAAATATTTCCCTTTTTGCCTATGCTGCCAGGAGACTCAGAGACAAATCCAGTTCCCCACTGAAGCAAAACATTATCCCAGGTGCTGAACAACACTGATTATCTCTTCTTCCTTGAAAAAGCCCTGGGTCTATTTTAATAACTAATTGTCCCATTATTTAGGTCTTATTTAAATTTACTAAACTGACTAATATCCTTTTGAGAAAATGAAGACTATAACACCTAAGCCAAGAATGCCAACGACCGACGTAAGATCACTTTGGAAATATTCCAGCCATGTTATTGGAAAATACAACTTGTATTTAATCTTCTTTAAATAAACTCACAAATGTTTTTCTGAGCAGTGTACAAATATGCACTCACTAATCTTTATAACAGCCCCCAAAGATTGTTATCATTCCCATTTTAGAGATGAAGAAACTGAGGCACGGAAGTTAAATTACTTGCCCAATTTAGCAGTGTTGGAGCAAGATTTGAATTGAGGCTGCCCAGCTCTGAGAGGCCCACATTCTCACTCACCAAGTAAAGGCCTCCTAGTGTCAGTTAAGGCAGTGCTCTGACTTATCCTTAAACATGCAAACAGCATTTGGTGTCCCCCTTTTCTACTGGCAATATAAGGCATGCTTCCCTTATTTCTGCTCAGCAAGCAATAATATCTTTCTAAGATATTAGAAAATCTTGGCCTTCTAGGCCAAGATTTCACAAGCTCTGCACTATCAACATTCTAGAGAAGAAATTCTTTGTTATGGGGCTGTCTTGTGTATTGAAAAAATGTTTATGAGCGGCATCCCTGGCCTCTTTGATGCCACTAGCATCACCCCATTCCTTCAGTGAGACAACCAAACATTGCCCCCTGTCCCCCAGGGGAGGGGGAAGGAGAATTCCCCCAAGTGGAGAACCACTGGGTCAGGCCAAGCAACATCGACAGGAAGAAGATAGGATGTCATATGATTCTGCTGGCTTTACATCTCCAGATAGCGAGGAACCAGAGGGGAAAAGCAAACCAAGGAAAGAAAAGTCATGAGTGCTTTCAAAAGAAAGTGGCTACCGACACAATAAGAAAAGGACAAACAGTGCAGAAGGGTGTACAGAAACACTGCTTTATTCTCAGATTTGAAAGTCAGGAAGAGAAGACACAGTGGAGAGCTGGGGACTGCAGTCAGCAGCATCCAGAGGAGTCGCCAGGGAGACAGCTACGAGTCAGGACTTCCCGCCGAACTCTCCTCTCTCGGGGACGTTCGGAGACGGTAATTACTTACTCTTGCTGTTACTGTTCTCACTGACAAAATCCTCCGAGCCATCTGCGTCGTCCTCGTCATCTCCGGATGAGATGGCATCTGTATTCAAAAGAACACAGCCATGGTTGTGTTTTTGCAAAGCAAAAGGTTGCAATCATCTATAGCTCAGTCCTTCTGGAAAGGGAATTCAACAACCCAGGAACCCAGGCAAAAAAAACGTCTGAGATCGTGTTTAGTTAAGATGGTTTTAATGGCTTAAATTTTTTCTCCGTGATGACAGTTGGTCTATATTATGATTCTTCACGTGTTCTGCTTTCATATTATTTAAACATGCTATAAAATGGGATACACTGAAACGGGATTTTAAGCTTCAAATGGTATTCAAGTCCCCAACAAATTTACTGATTGTGTAATAGCTGAAGATTCTTTCCAACGCAATCTTTCAGCACTCAGGGTCTCCTTGAAGAAAGGAATTAGTCCCTAGAAAAACTTAATCCTGTGGTCTTCTGACTATTTACTAATAATCTGAAAGCAGAATTTTAAACTCAGCCACAAAAGGGGACCTGGGCAGTGCCCCCTTGCCACATGGGAAAAGTTAAGGAGAGAAACTCGAATTTTAACAAAAGGAAGCAGAAATCTTTGGCATCCAAATTTCAATCCTATGTTCTAAACGCCAAGGATGCCGGTGGTATAGGAGTTTAAAAAAAAAAAAAAGATGTGTTTTTTACTTATAGGAAAGTGTGCAGTCTTAAAAATGTAACGTTGCATATGAGAACCCTGTCATTTTTAACGACCAGCCTCTCTCATATACCAGGTCCATAGAAGAACTTCAAAAACAGATCAATCATCAACTGTGAAGCTCTGTGCCCAGCATCCAATTAGCAGACCCCATCGTGGATTTCACTGGTCTGACAAGACTTTACCCAGAAAAACAGCTACGGGGAAGAGAAAGCGGAGGGCTGGCAGGCCAACTCACCTGTGACATTGACCATGAAGTAGACAGTCTCACTGTCTACGTTCCTAGCAGCAGTACAAGCATAGAGGCCGGAGTCTCTAGGCGTGGCACCTTTTATCTGCAAATACTCCCCAATAAGCACTGTCCTATTGTTGGGCCCCAAGTGCACCCCATCCTTAGTCCAACTGATCACGGCGGCATCTCGCAACAGGCAGCGCAACTCTAGCGACTCCCGGGGCGCAGCCACGTAAACTTCTGGTTGGGAGATTTGGTATTTGGTTGGTGGCTCTGCAGAAAGGCGGGAGAGAGAAGATGGAGACAGATGGGAAAAGAGGAAAAGGAGAGAACGTCCAACAAAGGTCAGTGGAGGCCCCTTGACTCCCAGGAGAGGCAGTTCACAGGCTGTTTTCTCTTTTCGCAAATGGCCCCAGGAGTGTCTGTCTGCCTCTCCTTGTACCCCAGGAAGCTGCCCTCACCAAGGAGCAGAGGAGTGCCTGAAACCAACCGGAGGAAGCACCCAGCGAAAGCTGCCCCACTGAGTCTCCAACAAACCGTAGAGCGCTCAACACAAACCCAAAACCCAACTGGCAAGGACACAGTACAACTTTGAAGTCGATTGTTAATCCAACGCCTGCTTACCCACGCGACACCTGGGAAAGTCTAGCATTGAGGCATTTTTAATTTATAAACGTGTGTTTCACAAATGGTTTCATTCCACATGACTGCGTTGACTGTGTACACACACACACACACACCTCTCCCTATTTGTGTGTGCTGACTTCCCCTGTTACAAATCTGAGCTTCTTAAAAAGAAATGCCTCAGTTTCTCAGGCTCAGAACACTGCTGGTCTGGGAGACTTACTTCTGTGCTGGCCGAGCTGGGACACACTGTTTTCCTTAAAATGATAAAAACCTGGAGGCCTTCACGTCAAAACCCAAAAGACAAAAAGCATGCCCCAGGGAGCTGAGGGGCGGCCCCATGGCACTGTGTGTGGTAGTCGCTCAGTCGTGTCCAGCTCTTTGTGATCCTGTGGACTGTAGCCCGCCAGGCTTCTCTGTCCATGGAATTTTCCAGGCAAGAGCACTGGAGTGGGCTGCCATTTCCTTCTCCAGGGGATCTTCCCGACCCAGGGATCAAACCCAGGTCTCCCGCACTGCGGCAGACTCTTTACTGTTTGAGCCAGCAGGGAAGCCCACTTAAATGGATCTTAAATCGCACGTAAATGGATCCGGAGAAGGTGCGGAGGGCTGCAGGCCTGGTGCTCCATCTGGAGAGCTGGACCCCTCGCTGCTGCCCAGCCCGCACCACACAGCCCGGGTTCCAGTCTCCTCGGCCTTCCTCTGCCTTGTCTCCTTTAGAGCTTCTTCTTTCTCCCTTGCCTCCCCACTGAACCCCGCCCATCCTTCACACCCGGATCACGCAGGCTCTCCTGGATGAGAGCCTGCCTCCAGCCTCCCTGGCACAGAACAAAGTGGGTCTCCCCTCTTCACAAGCTCCTGGGGATGGGCCACATTCCTGATGGACTTGTCCCATCCCCCGAGGAGATGCCCAAGATCCCAGAGGAAGGGCTGAGGTCTCTGGCTCTTAGTGAGCCCCTCCCCTGCCCCAGGCAGGCACAGGGAAGGTGATTGTTACAAATCGGATAACGGTCTCAGTGACTCAAGAGGTAAAGAATCCACCTGCAGTGCTGGAGACACACAAGAGACGTGTGTCTGGGTTGGGAAGATGCCCTGGAGGAGGGCACGGCAACCCATTCCAGTGTTCCTGCCTGGAGAATCCCATGGACAGAGGAGCCTGGCGGGCTACAGTCCATGGGGCCGCAAAGAGCTGGACATGACTGAGCATGCACACGATCCACAAACATGCAGGGCGAATCAGGCCCGGGAGGACCGAGCCTCTGCAAACAGAGTGAGGAGGAACCATGCGTCTTTAAGGAGAAGAGCCAGAGCCGCCGGCTGGGACCCACGAGAGTCCATGAATTGGCTTTCATCCTTCACAGAAAGCACTGTGAATGGTACCCGGAGTCCCAGGCCCAGAAAGCACAAAGCCTCCCAGCTCTGGGATGGCTCCGAGTCTGGGCAGCATCACAAGGAAATTGTTTTGTCCTTAAGTGTGGTCTGGACAAGGGTCCCACATAAGACTGAAATAGTTACTTCCTGTTTCAGTGCCAGGGTCCAAGAACAAGCGAGGGCCACACACATCAGGTTCTAGAAATCCGTCCCCCACCCCCACCCCCCACCCACTGTGGAGGGCCAGGGCTCCCCAGGGGGCACCCCCCAAGGCCACCACACCAGGAAGAGCCCAGACACTGAATGGGATGGGAACATAAAGGGGTAATCACAGCAAAAGCAAGAAAACAGAAGTCATATTCAACCTGGAAAAACTTACACCACCAAACAAGGGCAGAAAGCCCCAACTGGCAAGCAGGTTACATTTCAAATGCTTGTTTTTTTTGCAGTCAACAATTATTTTACTGAACACCTACTATGGGCCACATGCTTTTATCCTGGATGCTCCAGAAGCAAACAGAAACAAAAATACTCCCTGCACTTGTGGGTGATTAATTACAGTGGGGTGACAGATAACAAATATAAAATCTACGAAACTATAAAGTCTGTGGCATGGTCCCGAGTGTTAGGAGTAAGAAATATAGCATGTTAGGGGCACATCCAGAGAGGCAGGCTCTGGACTCCACAACAGGAGTTGGCAAACCACACAGTCCCTGGGGCCAAACCCAGACCAGAGCCTGTTTTTGTAAACAAAGTTTTACAGGTACACAGCCATGCTCATCGCTTACACAAGGTCCAGGGCTGCTGTGATACGACAGTTGACAGACCTGTGGTTGAAACAGAGACCCGATGACCTGCAGAGCCTAAAATATTAACAGTCTTGCCCTTTACAGAAAATTCACCAGCTTCTGTTGTGTAGGATCATCAGAGAAGGCTTCTCTAGAGAGAAGGGAAGGGCAAAATAATGCTTCAAAGATACTGCTGTGAACTTAGTTGGAAGGTCCTCAGATGAGGCCTCCTAAGGCTGTTTAAGTCATAATGCTGCTAAATTCAATGACTAATAACTCTGGATCCTGAGCAGAAAAGGTATGGGAAGAGAAATGTAGAGAAGAGGGGAAGAGGAGGAGAACAAAGAAGTCGGTTTGGCCCCAAATCTCAGACCATCTCTCACTTCCTGCATCCTAGAGTCAGGGCCACACAACGTTGCAACTGACAAGCCTCTCAAGGCCATGTGGCCCACCCCTTTTACAGCTGGTCAAAGCCAGGATCAGACGTCATTTGAGTTCCGGGTCTCCCACAACTGATTACAGAAACAGCACCCACAATGTTAGAATGAATTGACACTGCCTCAGCCTGAGTTATAAAATAATCGCTATTTACTAGGACCAACACTGAACGATCAGCATGTCACCAAGAATGTTGTGGCATTTGCTTTCCTCTGAGCCAGAAATGGTCATCAAGAGATGACTGAGCAAGGAAACAGCTGGACAGAGCAGCAACACTTCCCTCCCTTAACAGAGAGCCCGGGACCCACGTGGCCCATCCTGCTCTGATCTGTCCCCCGGGCCCTCGGATAAGGGAAAGCCATGTAACTACTTCATGGAGGCACAGGAAGACTCTAAGACAGTTTTTTGTTTTTGTTTTTAAGAAAAAAACAGGCAAGACACTTGCGGTTATGATCCAGAAAAATCTTTCTCCCAGACAAAAGGGAGAATTATGATTTCTCAAAGAAAAGTATTTTCATTAAGAATCATCTAAAACAGGCAAACCACAAAATCTTGCTGAAACCTGGGGCATCTAAGATGCTGGACCAATATCACCAAAGTCATCACTACGTGCTGCTGCAGGAGGAGGACCACACCCTATTCAGGCTGGATGCACAGGAGATGCTAGTGGAGGACAGAGGAGGCTGGCATGCTACAGGCCACGGGGCTGCAGAGAGCGGACTAACGTGACTTAGAGACCGAACAGCAACCTGCATGAGAAAAAGATGACACCCTGAGTTCCAAGTCCACTCTGCTCCTGCTTAAGCTCACGAAGGCCCCCAAATAGGATATTATTTTGAGACTCCAGCGAGCCATCCAATATGAACCTGATCTTCCAACTATCTGATGGGGCCAGTCACCATCACTATCACTCTTCAAGACTGACGACACCACCAAGATTGCAAGCACCACCCTTTTCAGAGGCTAGTCAAGAGACTACCTGGATTTATGAAAGTGAAAGTTGCTTAATCATGTCCGACTCTTTGCAACCCCATGGACTGTAGTCTATGGAATTCTCCAGGCCAGAATACTGGAATAGGTAGCCTTTTCATTCTCCAGGGGAATCTTCCCAACTGAGGGAACAAACCCAGGTCTCCCACATTGCAGGTGGATTCTTTACCAGTTGAGCCACAAGGGAAGCCCAAGAATCCTGAAGTGAGTAGCCTATCCCTTCTCCAGCAGATCTTCCCAACCTAGGAATTGAACTGAGGTCTCCTGCATTGCAGGCGGAATCTTTACCAACTGAGCTATATCCTGTGGATATAAAATGATGCTGCTAACGATGGGCTCCCAGCTCAAAAGGACTGATAAGGTGATGAGCTATTAAGAGTGATTTTAATTTCCAAGAAAATCAGGTGAAAACTATCACCCAGCTTTCCAATGACATGATCAGCTTCAAGGATAAGTAAAATAATTCCCCAAAATACATCAATAAGGTGAGGATGTTCATTTATAAAACAAAGCCATCCACCTTCAAAGTGTGAAACCATTAACTACTCCCCTGGGAAATTCAGAAAGCGTGTGTTCCTCCCTCCCCAGCTGATTATTTCACAACAGGCTCATCTGAGGGTCCGAGGCATCTTTGGAGAACCCCAGCAGAATCCTGTGATACTCCCGCACAATCTAGGAGGACATCAAACACATCTTAGGGAGGATGGGTGGATAACTAGAAAGAGGGGAAGAGGGAAGAAGGGGTTAAAGAGTCAGGGAGGATGGGCAAGTGGGGCCTATGGTGGGAAGGGGCAGAACAACACACCCAGCCCCTCCCAGGCCACCCAACAGCTCCTGTGGCCCAGATTGCACGGTCCTGCATCAAAGCCATCCCAGGCCAAGATGCCAAGAACACAGACACTTAGCAGGGACCCAGACTGGCTCAGTGGAGGCAGTTCTCTCCCTGCCCCTCCCACATGGCCCCTGGGGCTTGGCTTCCCTTCTGGGGCTGCCATCTCCAGGTGACTCCCCGGCAGGTGCTCCCGAGTGCTCCGCAGACACCGCCACAGTGGTACTGCCCTC